TGAACCGAGCTTGTCAACCTCAATTAACTTGCATCTAATACCAAGCGCATTCCTTTCACACCTGATTGACAAATTTTGCTTGTTTTATCATGATTATTTCTGCTAAACTAGTACTGTTATTTTCTAATAACCTCTTTTTTCGGTTTACCAACAGGATCATATGGGGCTGCATAGCAGCAGGCTTGACATTGACTGGGATCTCAGCCGCAAATCTGCCTATGGCAATTACAAAATAGAAGCTGAAGCCGGTATTTCTGCCGAAATACCCTGCCGGGCTTTTGCCCAGCATCAAGTCGGTAAGGAAAGACCCGACATCGAGTCCAGTGCTTGTGGATGGCCGACTCAATCTCATGGACGCAGCAAGCGTCTTGTGCGGATTCCTGCACATCGGGTCGTTCTGGCTGCCGCCAGTGACTATTTCGCTGCCATGTTTCGAAACCGGCTGAAAGAAGCGGAACAATCGGAAGTTTGGATACACGAGGTGACTCCAGATGCCCTCAAGACACTGATCGACTACATCTACACAGGTCAGTTGAAAGGTTTTTTTCAAGAGTTTAAGAGACCTACCAAGAGTTACCAACACGAGCTAACAAGAACCTTTCGGCTTGAATATAACCTTTAAAGATTGTATGGATTTACTTTTCTGTCAATTTGATCCATTACAAACTTGAGGGGTTTCGAAAGCGTAACGTTAAAATCTATCGGCTTGTAGCATGTAAAATTTTCATTTACTAAGTATTCATTGGCCTGCCACGTGCATTATATTATGCTCATCTATATTATCCATTCACATGATACATTTTGATGGTCAGGGTTAAGGGAAATTACAGATAAAAGAGTAGCTGGGTTATTATTGTGGTGGAGGCGTTTATTTCTTATGAAAGTACATGATTATTTGGCTGATTTCCGCTGTTCTGCAGCCGTTTGGTTTTGATCCGACGTTCAGGTTGACGCAGTCCACAAGACATTCTCCCTCGGGACTCGAACTTAGACAGTGCGCTGTGAAAGCTCGAAATGTTACCA